TTTAAAAAATTTGTTATAAGCTTATAACGAAGTTGATATCCAGATCCTAGAATTCGTTATATCAAGAGTTCACTGTAATAATTTTATATTTATTTATATAAAAATATTAAAGAAACAAAATCTTTTGACGAAATTACAATTTTCAAAAAAGAGATTGGCCAGGTATTACTAGTTTTAACCTATATATATTATAATTTATAATATTGTAACATATGTTGTAACTAATTTTAGCTTATATTATAAAAATTGTAAATTTGAAATTAATTGCTACACTATATAAATATTGGATTATTTTATTTTTAACTATTTACTTATAGATATTATATTTAATAAAACTAATTTAATTGTTTATTTTGATAAAGAAAAGCTTTAATTAAATCTGAATGTAACTTTAAAGCTTATTAATTTTTGATAGTTTAATGAAATATGTAAATGATGATAATTTGTATAGAAATTTGGATTTGTCATATATTCTAATGAATAACTCATATAAAAAAGCAATAGGTATTTTGAAATACTATAGGTATAGCATTGAGATTTGATTTAAAAAAGAAGAGAACCTGCAGTTTTTTTTATAGTCTTATATAATGAATAGACAACAATTTTATTATTTTAATATATATGTAAGAATATTTTATGAAATACTATTATTAATATATATATCTTATTAGAATTATAATTAATCCCTTTAACAGATGATTTTATCATTAAAATAGAATAATAGATATAAAATGTTGAAGAATAATTTTATTATTAAATTTTATTAGTAAGGTTTTTAGATAGATATTATAATAAAAGGTAGGTAAATTATAATATGATGATATATGATTAAACTGGTTGAATGATACATTTAATAAATTCTGATTTATTTTATTTTAGTTAATATATAGAATTGTTAATAAGATTTGATAATATAAAATTTGAACTAATAGGATAATTAATAATTTTGTTAATAAATCATTATTTATTATTAAGCTAAAATTTAAAATTTTTGAGAATAATTAGATAAATATGTAAAATATATTATTTATCATTCTTTATTTCTTTTTTATAATTTTGTAAAGATATTTGATTTATTATTATATTTATTTTTGCTTGATAATCAAAAAAATAATTTTATTATATAATATAAATAATTATTAAAAGTTAATAAATTTTTATTTAAATTATTATTATTATATTTATTTATTAATCAAATAATAATTTTTATCAATTTCTTTTTTGTTTGTTAAATAACAAAATTACATTTAAATTTTAAATAAAAAAAGATTTATATATTATCTAGAAGTTCAGTTTATTAGTTTATTTTTATTTTCATAATCATATAGTATTTTATTATTATTGTTAATATGATTAAGCATATCAATTAATATTTCAGACTTTTTTTTAATCTTTTAAGAATATTATTTCTTAAAACAGATATTAAAGTTATGATTAAAATTGATTATGTTGAAGTTGAATTTAATATTAACTAAGTTAAAGATATTAGGTTTATTTTTTTGTTTTTTTTTATTTTTGTTAATTTTTATTATTCAAATTTAATAAAATATTAGGTTTATTTTTTTTTATTTTTGTTAATTTTTTATTATTCAAATTTAATAAATTTTTTCTTTATGAGATCTATTACTTTTTTTTTCACTCTATTTCAAAATAAATAATTTGTATAAGGTTTATTTCTATATAAAATTCATCTGAATAATGCTAAAGATTTTGTGAAAATTTCTATCTAATCTAATTTTAGAATTATAAGTTTATTTATTATTCTAATAAAGAAGTTGTAAATATTTCTTTCTAAAATAAAGTAATTTTGATCTCTATTTTTTGGTTTTACTAGCATTTTATATGATAAAGTAAAAAATGATTCAAATAATGATATAATTGGTAAATCATGCATTTTGAGTTTATTATTCAATATTTTCAAATTCAAATTTGTTGTTTGAATTACTGTTATCTAGATAATACAAATGTAAGTTAATATTTTTAATTTAAAAAAAAAAAAGTTAAAAATAATAAAAATACTCATTACAAATAATTTAGATTTGGAATTTAAAAATCTTTTAATTATCAATATAATCTTATTTTTTTGAATCTATTAATTCTAAATGCTTTGAAATTAATTTTAACAAATTCTTTATTATCTATTCCACTATAAGTGATTTCTTTAAAAACCTTTTCACTACTTACATCTAATAAAAACTATAGATAATAAAATAGAAGACTTTTATTTTTAATTGAATTTTAATTAATTAATTAATAAATGATAGAAAATAAATTTTTTTATATCAATATTCGAGGTACTTATATAGATTTTTTATTTTTTTTATTTTATTTAAAACTTGTCATGGATATTTTTATTACATAATCATAACTTTACAAAAAAAAAGATTATAAAAAAAATAGTCACAAAACATTTTGTATTAATGTTTATTTTAAATAATTATCCAACAATTTTAGATCAACAAAAAACATTTCTTCTACTACTATATAAAGAACTTTTTACGAAGAAAAAATGTAGGGGTGATAGCAAAAGCAAAATAACATAGCATAGCAAAAGTAAGACGACAAATAGCAAAGCAAATAGCATAGAAAGAAAAGCAAGCAAACATAATATAAAAAACGTAATATTTCTCGTACGACAGCAAAAAGCCAAAAGGCTAATTAGGAATATTATAAAGAAACTAAGAAAAGATTGGCAAAAATCGGCAAAGAAATTTTTAGTAAGTTATTAAGCACGACAAATTTTCAATCTTTTTTTTCGTTAAAGATTCGGCAAAAAAAAAAAATTATTTAATATAAAACTAACCTTTGACGAATAATATATGGTTAACATCTATTAAAACAATTAGAATAGACTCAAATGACTTAAAGATTTCGAGTATCATTTCTAATTCATGGGTGGGGTGGGGGGGGGGGGGGGGGGAGTAAAACAGCAAATAACAAGCTGATGTTACTATTATTTTTTTATTTTTATTTTTTTTTTTTTGATTCTATTGATGTACTCACGGAAATTGCATGTACTAATAAGTTTCTTCTGGAAAAGAGAAGCTGATCCAAAAAGTGTTATTGAATTTTATTCACCAATAAATCATGTATAAAAAATCATTGCTTTTAGAATGTTAAGACAACCAATAAAACGAAATCAATGTCTTTTGTAATAGTTTTTAGTTGTAAGATTTTTTCTTTACATAATATTTATGGTTTTTCTTCATTCTTCGGTCCTAGAACGCTATACAAGATATTTAATAACTTCACATCCAAATATCTAATTATTGCTGCACTAATTGAAACAGTTCCGTCTTTGAAACACAAAAACTCATTTATACACCGCAGTAATAATTTTTATTTTGTTAACCACGCGATGTATTAATCAAGCAGCCAAGTCAAGAAATAATATAATAATATTTATCTTGGTTTTCTTTAAAAATTTTACTCGCTCTTGGCAGTACAAAGAGACTTGTGAAAACATTTTTTCTTGGCAAACAATTTCTTAATGAGTGTAGTGTGTGCTGCCAAGAAATTAAAAAACATTTCCATATTTAGTCACTTGCATTAATTTTCTAATTATAACTGGATAATACGTCATTCTATTTCGCATTTACATGATCCTTAGATAAAAACCTTTAAACTAAATAAAGAAAATAAGACCCAATTAATTTTCACTTGTCTACATAACTTTTTTATTTATAAAAAGACAACAGGAACAATATTTTTGAACAGAAAATTTACCATTAATTCTTTTCGCACCTTGTGAATAAATAGATTTCAGATTTAAATAATATATAATAATATCCTGCGTGTTACGCTTTCAAATAAAAGAAAATCAAAAATGTCTTTGACACCTCTTGCTTCACCTTTACCTGTTAAAAGTGAAGAATTAATTTGTCTTTGGGATCAATGTCTTCGTACTTTTGACGATCCTGAATTACTTTATGGTCACTTAGCCCATGACCATGTTGGTCGCAAATCAACTGGTAACTTGTGCCTTAGTTGTCATTGGGATAAATGTGAAGTGGTAACCACGAAAAGAGATCATATCACTAGTCATTTAAGAGTTCATGTCCCTCTTAAACCGCACGTCTGTGAAATTTGTAAAAAAGCTTTTAAACGTCCTCAAGATTTAAAGAAACATGAAAAGATTCATACTGATCAACATCAACAAGCGATTACAATGGGAAGAATTAATAGAGCAAAAACTCTTCAACCACCCACTCCGCCTCATTATTCTTCTTCCTCTGAACATTCACCCTCAATATCTTCTGCTTCTTCACCTCATCATATTCCTCTTTCACCCGGTAACAGTGTAACATCTGAATTAAATAATAATGATTATTTACCATCAAACTATGAAAATTATGATGTTTATTCCCAACTTGCTAATGGGGAATTATATGACTTTACAAATAATTATTTAATGGATTCTACGACCGGTTTAAATAATTATAATCGTACTAGTAATAAACGTAGTGTTGATATGTTTGATGGTTTCGTTCAAGACGTTAAAAGGAAACGAATTGAACCTCATTACAATGATGGTAACTAATTTTATTTTATTTATTTTTTTTAAAAGATAATATTTTTTCCAATTTATTATTAACAACCTGTTTCTACTCTAGTATTGTTTAGGAAATTGGAGGATTTATCCAAAGTTATTGATCAAAATGGATTAGAGTTTGATTCACTTCCATCTCTTAATACTAAAGAGGATTTTAATGAAATCAATGACTTTTTCGCTAGTACCTTGAAAGAAATTAGTCCTGAATTCATATTGAATGAACTTACTTTGGGTTTAACTAATTCTTATAATTCAAATGTTCAATTAATGCCTCTTCCTCTTAATACTTATTCAGCTGATGCTGATGCGAGTGCCTATTTAAGTTTAGATGATAATAATACCGTTGATAATGGTTTATATTCTTCTAATTATCCTACAACTGTTAACAATCCCGTTGTAACTTCAAGTAATTTACATGATGGTGCTTATCAAACTGCTTTATCAAATATTTCTCCAACTACTTCAACTATTTATAATCCCAATAATATTCCATCTCCACCGGAAGATTCAAAATATTCTTGGAATGCAATGAACTTGATGTATGTGCCTGAAGTAGCTAATCCAATTACTTCCACCACCTCTACTACGACACCTACTTTACCTTCTCAAATGTTTCCTGCACAATCTCTTGTTTTTGCTTCTGGAGGTTATGAAAATCCTGTTTCATTACCTCATACATCGGAATATATCAATATGGATCCCGAGTTGACCCCTCGTCAAAAACGTGTTGAAATTCAAACTAAAGCAAATAATACTCCATCCAAACCTTCTTTACAAGAAGCAATTTCGAAGATGAACAAAAATCGTGCGAGCACCCCTACTGCAGAAAATAATATATCACAAGGGAAAAGTACTAGTTCTAGAGAAAATGGAGAGAAGAATGTAAAATCAAGTGGAATTATGACAAAGACTTCTCTTCAAATCAATCAAGAGGAAGTTATGGTGGGGAAGGATAAAACAGAAGAGATGAATGTTACTATGGAACAATTATCCAAGAACTTATATGACCTCGAGATAAGAGAGGATGATAATCCCGTTACTCAAGTTGAAAATAATGAATCAAGAGCTAAGCATGTTGCTCTTATTATTGCTCTTTATAAAAAATTCAACCAACTTTCTCAAAGAATGGATGAACAAGTAAAAGAAAATGATAGGGTTAAAGTAAAAATAGAAGTATAAATAATAATTTATAGAAATTTTTTTTTTAAAAAAAATGAGGGGGAATAAAATATATCCCTCGAAATGTATATTTTCTTATATTTATTTGAATTGTAATAAGGGTGATTGAATCCTTTTTAGAAATATATAGTTATCCGGTTATCTTGTTTATATTTCTATCATTTTCATATAACTAATTTCCAAACAAATTCTTTTTTTTTTTTTTGTATGATATATCTAGTTTTATCTTATTTAAAGATTTTAATAATAAATAAAAAAAAATAATAGTGTCTAAATACATTTATTTAAAGTTATTATAAAGAAACGTAATTATTAATCTTTTTTTACAAAAATATCATTGGTCTATTTCATCACTCGAAACATCCAATTCTTGAAATTTTCTCGTGATCCTTTTGATATTTGGCTTATTTCTTGACCTATTGCCGATATTATCACTATCACCAACCACATTCGAAGAATCCCAAGCTATTTTACAAGCTGGACATACTTTATCATTTCTTGAATCAAAGTATCTACGAACACAATGATAGTGAAAACGTGTTTTACATTGTGCAACTCTACACCTTTGTCCCTAATGATAATTTTCGTGTTAGAAAAAAATTTTTTTAAAGGAAAAAAAATCATTCCGAATATCACTCAATTAATTTCACCTTAGTAACAATGTCATAACATAGAGTACACTCTAAAAGGTGATCTTCGAACTCTTCTTTGAGATATTGTTGTAATTCCAAGATTGATCTTTGACTCAATGAATACTTTCCTTCACTATATAATATAAAAAAATTTGAAAAATTCTTTTTTTTTTTTTTTATTAAAAAACACCACTTAAATTGATATTACCGTGATCTTATCAACCATTTATCATCCGTAAATCGTTGTAATAACGTTTCTCCGTTACTTTTCGATAAAGGAACTTTTAACTTTGAAACTTCTTTTAATGCTATAATTGATGAGACAGAGAATTCCTCATCTTCTGCTGTAACAATAAGTTCTATCTTTTATTTGATTTAGAAATGTTAATTTGATTATAGCTATGAAAATGATTTAATAAAAAAATAATGAAATTTTTACCAATCGTCTGAAAAAAGTTATTTCCACAGCTGTGTATTCGGTGGCTATTTGTGCGATTTCATCACCATTTGTATTAACCTATTAGAAAAAAAGAAAAAAAAAGGGAAGGGAAAAAGAAAAGAACGTTTCTCAGAAAACTCTGAAAAAAAAAAAAAAATTTTTTTTAATTCTATTATTATATTTACTAAAGCCCAAACTGCAGTTCCATCATCTTCGTTGTGACTTTTTCGAAGTTCTAAATCTACGGTATTTAGCTTTGTATTAATTGTCGCGATAAATTCTGTAATAGTTTCTGTATTCTGTTCTAAATAAAGTCATTTTATTTTATTTTTTTATTTTTTTATCAAGAAAATTAAAAAATCTTTGAATATTAATGAATTAATACCGTTGGTGGCTTCACATGCTTGCTGATATAATCTAATCGCTGTTTCTTCTGTGAAAAACCTCTCAGCGATAGAAGCTTGTAAAAATAATCTGTGTGTGTCTGTATATTCCTCATTCATAATTGTTTTTAATTAAGCTAGTATAAAAAAGGGAGGTTTTTTTTTCAATGAATGAAATGAAATGAATTGGAATGAAATTTCCTGAGAATGTCTGGAGAGCGCGATTCCTATCTACTTTCACGAGTGACGAATCATTCAATGCTGTGTTACCTCAAATTATGGAATTAAATTCATTAAGAATTGGGTAGAATTTTTTATTTTATTCTTTTTTACAATGTTCATTTAATTTTACGAAATTCTTTTTCCTTTTTCAATTATTTTTACATGATCTACAGGGTTAAAATTTTAAATGGAACATCAATAAAAATTTTTAAAATTTCTCCCAGAGAAACATCATAAATCTAACTTAATGTTCCAATTTGTTTTTGTTTATAATAAGTTCGTTCTACATAAATGAAAAGTATAAAAAGGAAGAAGGAGGGGGGAATAATATTATAAGGAATAAACAAGAATACAAAGGGTTTAAAAGTTTATCAAGAAATGTGAGTAAAGCGAACAATCAGAAAAAAAAAGATTCAATTTAAGAAAGTTTATTGAAATTAAAAAAAAAAAAGAAAAAAAAAAAAAGAAAAAAATTATATATATAAACGGTTCAAATTGTAAATTTAACAAGGCGGATAAGGTGATAAAACCTAAAGGAAAAAACATAAGATTGAAAGGGTTCTCTTTTTATGGATAGAATTTTGTAAAGTTTTGTATGGAGTGCTCCTAAATAATATATATAGTGAAAGTCCCAATGTTCATAAAAAAAAATTATATATTGCGAAACCCAGTGTGGATGTCGTTCTAATAAGATATATACATACATATACACACCCAAATATAAAACACGCACACAAATTTACATAAAATATAATACGCTCGAAATTCTTTGTTTTTTCCGTGACAAAGACGTTGAGTTGAAGTGGTAAAATATTGATCTACCAGCCAGCCAAGTATAACGGATTTTAAAATAATTAATCTGAATCTCCATTTGTAGTTGCCAAACGACGATCCTTTTCATTTTCTAGCTGATTATACAATAAGTAAAGAGCTTTCTCATTGGATTCGGGAGTTCCTTGAATTGTAAACATCCGCTCGCCAGTTTCGTCATGCGGCGTCTTTGCGATGCTAATGCGAGAACCCGAAAGTCTGCGAATTTCAGAAATTTTTGACCCGCCTTTACCAATAATACATCCAACCATATCAGCAGGAATAGAAATATTTTGAGTTTGAATGCTGCTACTATCATAATTGTTAATATTGTTAGATTGACGGCGATTATTATGGTAATCACGGGAAGGACGAGTGAAATCAGTCCCATTGCCGGTACGGGTAGTATAATCATTGCGTCGGGTAGTAGAATAACTTGAAGAAGTTACTCGAATGGCAGGGTTATATAGGACTGTCCCAATACCACGTTCGTTATCTTCGATAAGACACTTGCCAATTTCCCAAACTGCGACACGAATGGCCTCGACAGTTCCCTGAACTTCCACAACTCTTTCGGTACTCTGATGAAGCATTTCCTTTGAAGCAACCATCCTAGCCCCGGAAACATCTTGAATATGTTTGATTTTAAGTCCTTGACGACCAATGATAGTTCCCATCAAATTATGAGAAATAAGCAAACGAACGGAAGTAAATGCATTCGGTGAAGGGGTTATTGGAGTGGAATTAGGGCTTACGTTCACTGGATTCTCAAGAAGGGTTTGTGCGATCAAAGAATATGCCTGTAAGTAAATTAAAAATTGTTTTAATTAAAAATTATCTTCTAAACTATTAAATTTCAATTTAGAATTCATTAAATAATTTGTTTACCTTGGCTACACCATTAAGGGTACCTGCGACAGATAAAACTCTCTCCTGAACCCCTTGCACTACTTTAGATACACCAGCTTTAACACCTGTAATCTCTCTCAACTCGGCGACATTTTTACCGGCCTTACCAATAATTACTCCTGCTTCTTTTGTAGAAACCAAAGCTCTTAGGGTAAGTTGAGAGTTTGATAAATCTCCATTATCTTCATCATTGGAGTCCTCTCTGTGTTCTTCTTCAACTTTACTGTTATTTTCGATAGTAACATCATCAGTTGAAGTCATAAATGGGGCTTTATGTTCAAAAAGTGAATGTGAATTAACTGTAGGAGTTGAAGAGGAAGAGGAAGTGGCAGTGGTGATACCATTATTTGTAGTTGCGACCGTAGGAACGCTAGTACCATTACTCTCGACCTGGTCTTGAAGACTTAAACGGTTGGTTGTGAGAGGATCGTTTGCCATTTTATGAACGAGAATTGTTACGTCAAGTTTGTTGTTTTGACTATAAATTATCGAATTTAATAAATGAATTTATAAATAAATTAACAAAGTTACCAAACTTTCTTAGATTATGTTTTATTTTTGAACTTCCTAACCTATGAAATAATCCGGAAATATTGGAATAAAAGGGTTTTCCGCTTTGAAGATAAAAATCGTTAATAACAAGGAATAAGGTAGGAAAGTATCTTTTTCGGTTTCTTGAGATAAAACCCGGAGTGGAGGAACAACAGGAACGTTCCAATGTAAGGTAGTCAAGTCACAGGAATAATAAAAGGAATAATAAAGGAATAAAGAGGTGGCGAAAATAATTGGAAAGATCGAGGTATATCGAAAATTTTTATTATATTTTTTTTTTTTTTTTTTATTTTTATTTTATATTTTTATTTTTATTTTTTTTTTTTATTTTTTTTTTTTTAAAAAAAAATAAAATATAGGTGTGAGGGGTGGAGATGAAGGGAATAATTAGGGTTGGCGTGTTAGGAAGAGGTTCGGAAGGGTGAGGTTTTTTTTTTGTTCCAAATGTTCGTTAAATGTTTTTTTTAGGTTGTCCTCTGTGCCGCGAACTGAGCACGGCACAAAAAAACCTGATTGTTTGGTGACGTGCTTTCTGTGGATCCTGCTTGCTGAACAAAGAAGATCCAAGCCCAAAATCAAATTGGGGTAAATTCCTGCCATTCAAAAAGCAAAATGTCCACATCTTTTAAAATCAAACAATGCACATTTCTGTGAAATGATTTAAGTAGTATCATTGTGAAAAATCAATCTCCATTGGTTAATATTATCTTGTTATCCTTTTTTATCAAAACTTGGGCTTTAATAAAAAAAAAAATGCAAATATTAAAAATTCTTTATATACTATATATTTACAAAATATTTTTTAAATATATTTAATTTAAATTTTACTCAATAATCTTAAATTAATATAAACATTACTAATTAATATAATTTTTTCTTTTAATTTTAAAAGAAAAACTATTGATAAAATCATATAATATTTAAATTAAACTTTTTAAATTTTATAATTTTATTATTATGATCTATTAAAATTATAAAAAATTTATATAACTGATATTTTTATTCTTATATTCATAATTATCATATAAGTACATTATATTTAATATATTAATTAATAAATAATTTTATAGTAAAATTATTATAATAACTTAAAATAATTAGTGATATTATACTTTTTAATATAATTATATTAAAGAGTGTAATACTACTTAGATTAGATTATAATAAAATATAGTTTAATAGGTATATTTATACTTGCTATCTAAACCCAACTTTGGGATTTGTCTAATAAAATATTAGAACAAATGGAATTTTTTAGTAATATCTAAATTCTTAATGAAAAAACTGAAAATATCAGGTTTAGACAATCTTAATAATCTTAATAGTATAAAATCCAAATATAAATAAACCAAAATCTTGAAATTTTAGAAAAGTTAAAATTAAGTTAAAGTTCTGATAAGGTTAATAAATAATAGAATAATAATCCTTTTATTAGAAAATAAGTAATACTCTTGAAAAAATTTGAACTTTTTTTAAAATCTTCAGATTAAAATTTAAAACTAATATTTGATAAGGATAATTATAATGATAATATGATAATAATTTGTTATAAAATATCAAGTTTAATTAATAAATTAATTAAAATGAATTAAAAATTGAATATGAAAATAAAGATTTAATGTTAGCAAATTATTGCAGAATAATTGATAATTAATAAATTTTATTTTATTTTATTTTATTAATATAATATATAATATTAATATTATAAATAATAATATAATTGTATTTATTACAAATTTTGTAATTTTAATAAAGTTTAAAATACAAATATTAAATAATATAGCTTTTTTTAATAGTATATATAGTAAATAAAGTTAGTAATATTATCTGTGTAATCTAATTCACAAAAAATAGATAAATATTACCTAAGATTTTAATATAAAGTACTAAAATTTTATAAATAAATCATTTACTTATACTATCCCAATCATACTACAGTTAAATCTTATTATAACAAATCTTCATTTTTAGAGATCACAATTCATTATAATATAACGTCTTATCAAATTTTAACAATTTATTCATTATATAGTGATACTAAATATCATATCCAATCAGATTCAATAATAAATATCTTAAGCAAAATGATAATTTTAAAGCAATGTTATTTAATAAATTAATTATTAATTTTAAAATAATCATAAATAAACTATATCATCCAAAATTTTATTCTCTTTCTAATGAATATTTAAATATAACAAATGAATAAAAATTGAGTTAGTTTTATTAAAGACAAAAGTGTTTTTGAATTTCACAAAAATTGCACAAAAAAATACTTATATTTTACCACCACTATGCTTCTGATCACTACCTTACAAACTTCATTTTATTATATAATTTTCCATTTATTTTGACAAATGTGTTCTTATTTATTCAAAATATCTCAAATAAGTAATAAATATAAATAACAACAAATATTACGATTGCATATACATTTTTCATAATTAAAAATTTTCATAATTTTAAATTTACGCAGATTTCGCAGTTTTGCAACTGAAATTTTCAGCAATATCAAATTTGAATTATAAAAATTAAATAAATAAAATTAACTAATTAATCACCACTGATTCAACACTGATTAATTTTAGGTTTAACACCAATTAATCTGAGAATTAATTCCATTAAAAATTTATTAAATAATTTTACATATTTTATTATATAAGAACATTTTCTGTAAAATCACATTACAGATTATATGATTTACTATGCCTCATAACTTGATTTTACTAAAAACGTTCCCATATTCTTATAAATACATGTATTTAAATTATTAATTTATACTTATAATATAATATTTCCTTTAATATTAATATAAGAAATAATTTTATTATATCCTTTAAATTTAATATAAAAATTCGTTATATAAAAAAAACTTTGTTAACAAAAATTTCATTTATTATATTTGGTCAGGATCTTTAATTCGTTATACATAATAGTAAATTTTATTATAAAAATTTGTTAAATTCAATAATTTTATTTAATAAATTTTAGGACTACTCATGTAATTTGTTATAATAAAAAATTCAGAATATAGAAATTTGTTATAGTGAGATTCAACTGTATCCATTTTGTTAGTAAGATTTTTTTTCTAAAAGTATCTTTTTGAGAGAGCTTTTTATATAAGTAATCTAGCAGTTATGTATTATTATCAAATGTAGATAAAGGAATTACTTTAGACTATATAGGAATGTTACCTCCTATATTTTATCCAACTAATAGCTACAAGTTTATAAGATAATACTACAAGACTTACTCAAATATTAAGAAGAAAGATAATCATCATTGTATATAAAGTCAAAATGAATTATTTTAAATATCTAATATGATCAAAATTAGAGTTTTATAATTCGATTTAATATTTGAATATTTGATTTAAAAATCAAATTAAATATAAATTCAAATTTATATTTGAGAATACAACTAACAAAAGTTGTGACTTAGTCAATCATGTGATTTTGAGAAAATCAAGGTTTAAGTTAACTAATCAATTTTCACAATCATTGCAAAATTATTCAAAAATAGTCTTAATAACATAAAATGAAATTTTGCAATCATATAATTGAAACTATTAGGTTTTTTTTTCTTTTTTTTGTTACACATTTTTTAATTTAAATAATAAAATTTGTATAATACATATTTTTAATAAATGTCATGCTTCAAAAACAAAATGTTATTTTTACGCACTTTTTACTATTATATTATGAATTAAAAATCTTAAGTTAGACTTGTAAGCATATGATTATTACAAAATCTTAAATTTACGTGATCAGTTCAAATTTCAGTTTTTGCTAGCTACGTTCCTATTTAATTTGATTTAATTAAATTCAAATCAATTGATTAATTTAAATCAATAATAAAGTCATTTTCAAAACTTCAGTAATAGCTTTTATTAAAAAACTATAGTAAAAGTATCTTTGCAGCTTCAAAAATACCTTTTTTACTAAGAAAAATATAGTAAAAAATATATTTGCAACTTCAGAAATACCTTTTATATTAAGTAAAATATAGTAAAAAATGCCTTCGTTATTTTAGAGACATTATTTTATTAAGAAAAATGTAGTAAAAATACTTTTGCAATTTCAGTACTATTATTTTATTAAGAAAATATAGTAAAAATGCCTCTATAATTTTAAAGGTATTATATTATTAAGTTAAAATACCTCTACAACTTCAGAGATATTATTTTATTAAGAAAATATAGTAAAAAATACATCTATAACTTCAGAAATATTTTTACTAATAAAATAATTCTGAAGTTGTGATAGAAGTTATTACTAAGTTTTTTTTAGTAAAATTAGTTGTGATAGAAGTTATTACTAAGTTTTTTTAGTAAAATTGAAATTACAATAGTAATTATTACTAAGTTTTCTTAATAAAACTAAAGCTGCAATAGTAGTTATTATATATAAAGTCAAAATGAAAACCCAAAAGTCGAATTGTTTCAACTTTGGAGGTTAAAGTCGAAATAAAAGTCAAATTGATCAAAATAATGTTATATCACATGATTTTTATATATAAAAAAAAAGATGTATGATCTCGGTTAATATTGCTCTGATTTGTATAAACAACTACCTTTCGATTCTTCTTATTTTGAAACCTCCTCTCTCTTTCTCATTAGATTTTTTCCAAAAATTTTTACTTAAAAAAAGTGCTCGTTCAATGTTAGCTATGGTTTAGCTTACAAATAAAATAAAAAACTTATCTTTCAAAAATATTTCTCTTTTTATTTCTTATATTCCTATCTACATAAAATTTTTTGAAAAGTTTAAACAGTGTTATTTTTTATTAAAATATTTTTTCTTCACCTCTTTTCAAAAAAATTTTTTCTATTTTTTCTTTTTCTTGTTTGCCTACTAAAAAGTAAGCATCAAGAGATATCCTAATCG